CTTGCTGTCAACTGTTGTTACAACCTTTCTCACCACACCTCGCAGCTTTGCTTGTCACTCACTTGCTGCCCTTGCTGTCCTAGTTTCCCCAACCGATACTTCCATCCTTTTTTGTTGCATTGCCTTTATTTCCCAATAGTCCCGCAGCTTCTATACCTTGCAGCTAGGGGTGCAAACAAGCCGTACATGAGCGAGCTGAGCTCCTGTTTGTGTTTGACTCGTTTGAAATTATTTTTGTTTGAAATAGGCTCGAATTCAAAATTATTCGTGAAATATATGTTTGTGTTGGTTCTATTTGTCTGAATTTGTCTCGAATTGTTCATATTCGTATTTGATTCGTGGTCGGTTTGTGTTCGGTTCAAAATAAGCTGAAAGAAATAAAAAAGTATAGATTAATGGAAAAAGCCTTCCATCAAAGTATCAAATTCAATACTCACAAAACCTAAGCAGCAGGCAGCAACAAAACTTTCCAGAGTTCCACACAAGTAGCAAATAAAGATGGGATCATATGCTCTCAGAAAACAATCCATCAAAATATGAAATTCAAATCAATGGAAAAAACAATCTCAAATTATACAGCAAAAGCAAAACCAATCTGATAAGATATTCCATCCAAGATAAAGATGAGAATGACCAAGCTCAAAACCTTCCTGAAACAAATCAAGATGATTCCATCCAAAAGAAAAGAAAATAAATTTCCAAGCATGATTGAATAATAACGCATCTCTGGAAATCTTCATAGCTCAAGTAACAAAAGATCCGAGCCAAACTAAACACCTAAATATATCAATACAAAATTGCTCAAACTGAAATTTCAGTAAATATATAACTGAAGTAAACATCTTAATGAAACAAATCCACCAACATCAAAAGTGAACCGATCTCACTCCTAAGCACAAATGAACCAGATTAAGTACTTGAAGCATAACAAAAAAACTTTGATATAAAAGTGAACATATTCGAGCCAGAATAAAACTCCTAAACTGATTAAATACAAAATTGGCGAAAATAATAATCTTTTAAGCTAGTTATTCATCATTTATAAATTTGAAAAATTAAATTTTACTGATTTTTTAATTGAATATTATTATAATTTTAATCTTAATTTTTTTTTTGTGTTTTTTTTTTTTGAAATAATTTTTGTACATCTTTGAAGAAAGAAACATTACTTTAAATAGTAAACATGATGAGGATGGATGCAATGTAAAGATACAAAAAAAGGTTTTTCTATATCGTAGTGGATATAGGCATGTAGTTTAAGTTAGGGATCTCAACATACACATACCTCCAATTCCTATGTATTTAGATATCTAATACCTAAACTTCATATTTTATATTTATACCATTCAGATTTTTCATATCACATTAAAAATATCATCATTTTAACGTAAGAAAAAGTGGAATACAACCTTCATGCATATGTAAGGTACAGTGTATGTAAAAGTCAAAGATTTGGTTTTAGATATGTAATGAATTAAGAATTGAGTGGTATGTATGTGGTTGTTCTTTTAAATTAATGAGGGGATTTGAAGAAGTTGCCATGGATTTTACTCAACTAGGATTTACTTCTGGTGAATGTTTGAATTATCTAACTTTAAGTAAGATTTTTTTTTCTTTTAAATAAGAAGTTTTCTTTTTTTTTATTCCATAAAATAATAGCTTTCAAACAAAATATAAACAGATTTTGACGCAAATTTAGTTACTATACTATGATCAGCTAAACGAGGATGCCTATATATTTGATATAGTTTTTGCTATATATGCCAACCATATATAAGATTTTGAGATACATTAGCTCTCTTTGAGTGTAGCTTTTTGTAAATTTTTTGGAATTTTTGAATGTAACCCATTAGCTATTGTTAAAGATTATTCGGTTAGTTTGGGTTGACCACATTCTCTTATTAAATAGATTAATGTTCATGATAATTTGGGATGACAGAACAATGATATCTTAATTTCCATTCTCATCATTTTTCTAACTACCTGCTTTAAGAAAATGACTATAAAATTTCTTTATTGTATAACCATATCACCCCACCGCTATAAATTAAGCATTTTGCACCTTAGTGTTAATTAAAATTTCACTTTTGTAATCCGGAGTGAAAATTAATTATCTGGGCTCACACCTATGGGATCCTTGGAATTTGATCTTACAGTCTTCACAAAATAAGAGCAAAATATCCTATCATGTTTTATGTAACATCTAATTTGCCCTCTAAAAAATTGGCATATCAACATGATCTTTTAGAATTGTTGGGCTGAAATTTTTGGGCATTATCTAAATTTAATGAAGAAGAGAGACAAGTAGTTATTTTCCTAGAAATAAGAGAGGGATAACCATCAACATCGATGCTTGAGGGAGAGTTTTCATGATATTGGATGAAGATAATTGAGTAGCTTGTCTTGTGGGAAGAGGCTTTAGAATGTAAAATCAAAGGTAAACCAAAGTGAGCAACTACATTAGAACTAGAGGATGGAACCCCATGAGAGGCAGCAGCAGTCATTTGTGAGTGTTGTAGTAGGTGATTATATTCTTTGGTGGGGGAGAGTGAGAGAAAGAGAGAGAGTTTTATAATGAGTATTAATAGAACAAAAGTAGCAGTGGCAACATGCTGAGCAAAGGAGGATAACCAAATAATGATTGAATGGATGATTAAATTCTTGGGTGCGATGGCTAGGTTAAAGGATTTGCTGCCACAAACATGTCTACGACTACTACTACAACCACCATGACCATGATTGCTAAGATAGCCTTTGGTGCTAATAACAATGGTATATTTAAGATTAAAAGTAAGAACGTAACCATAATGATTTGGAAATAACTTAATAGACAATAAACTCACAAATATTCAATCATTAATGAGCTTGAACAAACAATAAATTTCTTTTCAACATTGAAATGTTAATCCACTTTTCCTTTCAATGTACTATAGTAAACATGAACTTGCCTCCCTATTGTAAAATGAAGATGTCATAATAGAAAGTATTTATCTGAGAAATATTTCTATGTTTAAAACTTGTGGATTGAAGAAATCCCATGTTCTTTCCACGGTTTCCCGAATTATGATAATGTACTACTTATCGATTCAAGACTATTGAGTATACATATGCGAACAACATATTTAGAAGATTGTTATGCTGGTTTGGGAGCTGGAGAGCCCATTAGGAGATAAAAAGCCTGAGATCATAAGAGATAGTTGGCACCATTTATTTTGAGGGAGGATTTAAGTGTGGGGAGTAGAGCATGCCATCAAGGGAAATCATAAATATAAGAGGAAATAAATAATTTAGTTAATTATTGATTGAGAGGCAATGTTTAGACTAGGTGGCGAATGAGCACACATGAAGTTGATTGTTAACTGATGCATGTGGGAGCATATGCGAGCAACATGCATGGAAGATGTGAGCAGAAGTGAGAGGGTGGTGTTGCAATAGAGCTACAAGCATGCCAGGTGGAGCTTGCAAGTAGCTAAGCATGAGTTGCACAACACATAAGAGCTGGGTAGACGTTCAATGTAAGGGTATTTAATTGCTACAAGGGACTGTTAAAACAAGGTTGTAGTGGCATGAAAGGCGTGCATTGCTTGTGTTGCATGAGTAAAATGAAGCTGGGACCATGTGCAGTGCAATATAAACAGCCATAAAAAAGAAAGGGGAAGAATGTTTGCAGGTCTAAACCGATCTATACTAAAATTTGGTAGTAATTGAAAATACGTTGATTGATTTTCTTATAAAACTTATGCCAATATGTGGCAAATATAATCAATAGAATATGAAGGAAATGATAATGGGAATATTCTCAACCAAGATAATATATTACATAATATAGATATAATATATGCTAATCATAAATATTTTGATTCAGCAAATCTCTAGAGACGAGTTTTAAAGTTGTGTTTTTACTTCTATCTGATTATCAATTGAACGCACTCTTATTCTATTGCACATTTTTTATGTATTAAGGGATCTCTAGAGCTTCCTTGAATAAAAAAAACCCGTTTTAAAGCTTGCACCCATTTGCATGGGGAAATCTACAAGCTCCTATCTTAAATTTTTATGGGGTGCTTGATGCCTTAACCTCTTTATGAAAATTATGAATACCTTGTCACATTAGACTATTAAGGTTTTGTTGATATCACCTAGATCAACTCCTAGCCCCTCATTTTCATACCATAGGATAAATTAACCCACGTGAAGTTTATGCATGATTAGCTAAATCGCCTTTACATTACAATTATCATTCTTCTGTCTGCTTGTAGTTGATTTTTTTTATTTTCTTTATCAATAATTCATTTTTGAAAGAAAGCACCAACTTTCAACATCTATCCTATTACTATACGAGTTACTGTTAAATTTTCCTTGAAGTTGTTGTTACAGGCATCATAAACTGCTATTATTTTATGTTGTTTCCTTTGCTGAACTTTTTTTTCTGCTTGTGTTGTACAAGATTTTATTAGATTCATATTCTAAATAATGATTGAGAAAATTGAATAATGAAATGAAAGCAATCAATCTTTTATCAGTTAATTATTTTCAATAATTTTGCTACAGACTTTCACCAGCTATAGATATCTGCTTTCTTTCTCTGGGCATTATTTATTTCTTTTTGTACGTAGAGTTGAAGCTCAGGATTTTCATGGGTTTTATGTTACTTTTTTTATTTCATACCTTGATGTTGACTCTTACAAAATCAAGCTTTTAATGGAATCTACAACTGAAGTTAGGGAAGAATTTTATCATATAATTTTACTATTTATGTTTTCTGATATTCATTGTAGGAATTGTGTTATTTAATATTTAGGATTTCTCTAAATATTTTCTTCAAACACTTATATGAATAGGACTGCTTAAATTTGTTTCACATCTGCATGACCTCTGACCCTGGATGATACTATGCAAGTTGTTTGACCGTTATGATATGGCTCTTTTTTTATTGGTTTTGGCTGTAAATACCTAAAAGTTAAGTTCCTTAATTTGTATTTATCTCTGTCTTGGTGCAGAGAAGCTTATCATCTCTTGAGTTGCCCAGGGCTATAGCTGTTTCAAAATCCATTTCTGCACAAAATACAGCAACCACATATTCAATTGAAGGCTCTAACTGTGTTGAAAATTCAAGTGCCTCAGAATATCATGGGAGTCCCACACAAAAGTATCATGATCCTGCTCGTGACATTTCTCTTCAAGTCTTGGAGAAATTCTCTCGTATCACAAGGTTTGCTCGTGAAGCCACATCACAGATTTTTCAGGAAAACCAAAACAAGGATTTTATCACTTATGAGAAACGTCATGAAGACAATTCTTCTGCTTTGGGTGATAAAAGAAATTCAGATAAAATATTTATGTCTTCAAAATCTTTAGAGGTAGCATTCTGTACTGCTTATGCAATGCTTCATAAATATTGTTGTGCTATGCTGCTATTTTAGGCTAAATCATAATTTTACCATTTGAACCATCCTTTTCCATCTGAAGTCTATGTTCGTATGAGTGGTACCTGGTATCTTTTAAAGAATGGCTGTCTTAGGTAAATCCCATGTGATATAGCTTATTTTCTATAGTTGTAATCATGTTATTATATTGGAAGACTCCCCATAATAAAGCGAGAGGTCCATGTATGTTGTTTTCCTTTTTCTTAGGTTTGCTTTGAAGAATAGTTTCAATGATCTATGCATGTTCAAATTTGATCTTCTTCTGTTGCACATCTCAGCAATTGATTTTATCTGGATGATGTGATAGCACATTTTACAAGTCAAAATATTTCATGTGAATTTATTTAAATATGTAATTGTTTATTTAGTTATTTTGGTGGTGCTAAGTCCTGATGGAATTTAATAGGAAAATGGACGCAATTAAAAGTATGCAATATCGAAGAAGAAATTTAGAAAAAGAGCAAATTATGCAAGCAATTGGAGATGTAGGATCTAATGAAATGTGAGCAAACGATCGAGTCTCCACGGTAAAAAGAACTAAGGATATAGGAGTCGGGGATAGTGATTGAATAAGAGCAAATATTGCGGTCATATGAACATTCAAGGAGGGAAGCTATTATGATGGAATTGGGGCTGAGGAGAGAGAGCTGGTGAGAGTTGCTAGGAGTTGGGAGGAATTGTCTTTGAGGGACATTGAGTGCAAGAATACCAATGAACATTATAATACTATAACTACAAAGGAACAAGGTTGCTAAAATACTAATTTTTTTGTTAGATCTTGCTATATATTTTGTTGTTAAGTAAAATTTACTTCTTAATCCCTTAAATCAAGAGGGATATGTTCACCATAAGCAAGTATTTATTGCTAAGATAGTCCTTATCTTTTAGCTTATAGATTTTCTTCTACCTAATGATATTAAGACCAACCCCTTCACCATTACCTTCTAAAGAAATTTTTCTAACATATTTAGTTGACAACCAAAGTTGGAATCAGTAAAAAGAGATACAATAGTGTGTTGGATATAAGCACAATTTTACCATATCTGGAGAGAAAAAACTCTAAGTAGAGAGCTTTGATCATATCTTTTCTTAGTGAATGGATTCCAAAAAATCATACAAAAACTTTTCGATTTCAATAGAATATCTAAATGCTTAAAGCAAAGGGTTTCAATAGTGCAACCCAAGATGCCAGTTAGAAGATAATCATGTTTTCCAAGATAAATAAGGGAGAATTTGGAGTAATTAATTCTAAGCCTTGTAATTTCTTCTAACTTAGATAAAATATTATTTCAAATATGAACTTGATAAAAAAAGAAGCACCACAAAATAATAGAGTATCATTTGTGGAGACTATTTATAGAATTCTCTCTTTTTATGTCAAAAACCTTTAATCCAATTGGTAGTTGAAGTACCCTGTAATACTTCTATAGAACTTCAAAAATTGTAATGGAAAGGAAAGGAGAGATGGTGTTTTTTCCTTTTCAAGCACTTGAAGTTTTTAAATTGCTGGGTAGGTTCCTCATTATGATCTGACAAGTATTGTGAGGGATAGAGTCTATAGTTTATGGGAAAAATGCAGAAGAGAAAAACACTCCAAAATGTTCTATAAAAAACTATTTTCAAAGTCAGCTTTAAAGATAGAACTTCTTCTTATGCTTAATGGCAAATTCAATTAATTCTTGGGTCACTAAAATACAATCTACAGTCACTTTTCAACAAAAGGATTCTGAGTGACATTAATCATTGTAGGTGGAAAGCCTTTGATTATGTTAGCTAGAATTTTGATGTAGATTTCAAAGAGATTATTTAGCAAGATAATATATCTAAAGTCATCAAGGAGATCATTATCCCCTTCTATAGGAACTAAAAAAATATAAATGGATCTTAATCTAAAAAGAGAGGCATTTCCAAGATAAACATCATCAAACATGCAGTATATAACAAAATGAATGGTGTCCCTCATTTCTTGAAAAAACTTCAGAGAGATATTGTCAAGATCAGGAAATTTTAGAACCCCCAGAGAAAAGCTCCTCATTTGATTTAATCAATGGAAAAGGGATCAACAAAGAAATAAATAATATCAGGATCATTATGAGGGTATCGGGGTAAAGCTTATTAAAATTGATTGGTAGCTTCATGACTCATACTTTGGCATAATAGCTTTTTGTAATAGGAAAGGAAAGGAGGCTAGTCTCAATTTGATAATAATAATCTGATTTTTCAATTTGATAAGATGAATGAAATTATTCTATCTTGGTGGCAATTTTATGAATGGAAGATGGTTGTGATCTCTTTCCAAATGTTCATATTCCATTAGTACTATGCATTCTCTTCTTTCAATTTATCATAAAATCAAGTGCTGTCTTTTTCATAATTTTTCTGATCTCAAGGATTATAGAGCTTAGATTAAACTCTTAAGTTTTCAGTCTTAAGGCTGCTATTAGAACATAATATTAATTTAATTGACATGAGCTAAAATGAAGAGCAATCAAAATGTACCATTAGATGAATAATGAACTCAAACAAAAGTAGGATTCTAGCAACGAAGAATCCCATATCAGGATCATCAAAATTAAGGCTTTTAAGTATTGAAGCCAATAGTATATCTAAGGTTGCTTGAATGTGGATCAACCAATTTAGATTCTTGATGAACAATGATTCCCAATATTTTTTTTATTGATACTGTCACACATCATTTTTCTCTTAACTTTTGATCCTAAGCCTTGAACATTTCAAGTATCAATGTTTTGGGAAATCAAAGTATACCACAACAATATCTAGGAAAGAAAACAATCAAAGTGGGACGATGGAGAGGGAGGTAAATTTAACTCTCTTTTTTAGCCCTCCTAGTTAATCATAAGATGTAATCAGGATTTATAATATTATCAGATATTATTTTTATTAACACTCATTCTGAATTTTGCTAGTTAGAAAAGAATGTAGAGAAAAATAGTTTGATTAGACTGACATAACTTATATACTGTACTTTTCATAATCATCCAATAGATCCAACATAATTATTAGTACGGAAGCGATCACAATTTAAATTATCAAATTTAACTACATAGCTTTTAATAAATTTCATGAATAATTAATTCATTCCAAATATTTTTAATTTACAACATGTGTACTTTTTTCTATGATACATCCAAAATCTTATATTTAGCTACATGTAGAACTAACCAAACTTATTATGACCCAATTTGCCTTTTTCATTCACTGAATTAACAATTATAGTATCATCTGATGAGTTAAAACTCAGCGAGATAAATAATTTTGATATGGATTTTAAAATATAAAGAATAAGAAATGAAATGCATGCTGATCTTTCAGTGAATTGTGATCTAAGTGGAGAAAACTTTAAATCAAGCCATATTTTGATAATTTGATAAGTAAATAATACAATTATTAGTAATAATCATAAATGTATAAGAAAATAAAATATAATTTTTCAATGTCCAATCATTTTGTATACAATGCTACCCAGTTATTAATATTAAATTATTCATTTTACTTATATTCTTTATCTCTTTCTTACTTTTTATGATCTTAGAAGTTTTATATTATGTCTTTATAGAGTTTAACACATTTATAATATATAGTCATCGCATAGCCCTTTGGCCTATTAATGTGATCCAACAGAATAGTTATCAAATGTCCTTTCATTAATATTAGATTGTTCCAACATGATATTTATCAAGAATTTGGATACCCCTTTTGGTGTCTATTGAGGCTCATACTAGATAATTTTTTTCTCTCTCGATGCAAGTTCTCATAATTTACTAATCTAACCTACATGACATGACATTTCATAGAATTTCTTTTTGTCATCATCTTCATACAACAACAACAACAACAACAAGCCTTTATCCCATTAAGTGTGGTCAGCTACATGAATCCTTTTCTCCATTGTGTCCTATTGAGTGTCATATTTTCATTTAATTATAATAGACTAAGATCATTTTTTTATACAATATGTCAAAGTTATTTTAGGCTTTCCTCTGTCTTTCTTTATACCAGTCAAAGCTAAAACATCTAATCTCCTAACCGGATCATCCGTCGGTCGCTATTTTGGGAAGAATAATTTTTGTAAATATGAAAATAGTTTTAATATAAATATGTAATTTTTTTTAATATAAATATGTAAATATAAATATGTGATTTTGATTTTTGAAAGTAACATTTTTAATTTTTGAAAATAGATGAGACCAAATGAGTCTCACATATTAAATAGTTTGGATGACTGAGCGCGATACGACATATAATACACTATCCCGAAAGATAAGTATTCCACATGACATTAGGCTCAACCACCTAAACTAAAGAGTTTATGATATCCGTTTGGTCTGCGAAATCTTTTATGTATGGTCGACAAGTTCCTCTATCTAATATAAGGAGATAGAGTTTATTTTACCTGGGTTCGAAGTTCCTTATAGAGGCAAGCCCCTATAGTTAATTACATCTTAAATGACCGGGGTCACTTAAGAAAACTCTTGATTAGGATCAGTGATTCTGCCTTCAAGGTTTCAAAGATTAGGTTTCCAAGATTGGACACGGAAAAATCAAATAGGAGTGACTCAAACAAGAACAATTATTTTAAGGAATCCAAAGGAACGAAGAGTAAGGGATATCAAGAATCCGAGGAGAACCCCGGTGACCTCCCAACTATCCTATTATTTGGCTTTATGTCTTTGAAATGATGTTATTTAATGTTTAATCCTGTAATTTATTTTTGGAATTTAGCGCTTACATTCACACGATATCTGATATTGCAAATAGCCTAGAAAGATTGGAGGATTTACACCGTATTGTATGGTAACATCCGAATCCTAAATGTGTCAGGACTTATAATTACACAACAGGGTTGTGCAAAAGCCTAAAGATAATATGTGAGGATTCACGTTGCGCTAAGCAAACTACCTCGAAGTCCTATA